GTTTTCTGGTCTCAACTGGGAGAGACCCAGAGGCCCAGGACTTCTTGGGCTCATGCAGAGTGTGAAATTATTCTCCCAACCAGCCATTGTAGACTCTGTAGAATGTGGATCCTCCATCCCCGGAAGCACCTTTTTTCTTACAGAATACATTCACGGGTCTGAGTTGAGAGCCTGACTGTGAGAGAAAAGACAAAGGTGGTATGCATTCCTTCCCTTCCTGGGGTCTCCAAGAGTCTAGATCTGCAGAGACCCATCAGCCAATCACATCTGCTCTTTCCCTGGCCAGACCCACCGCTCATGTATTTTATGGGGATAGACGCACAGAGGCGTACTAAGGACTCCTCCTCCCTTGAGCCATTTGCATCTCACTGGTGTGATGGTTAGTGTTCACAATCAACTAGACAAAATCTAGTATCCTCCAAGAGATGGTCCTCTCGGAATCCCTCTGCACAGTTATCTTAATTACGGCAACTGAGGCGGGAAAAGCTCCCACTGTGCTAGGATCCTAGACTGCAGAGACAACGGGGCAGAGCTGAGCAGCAGGCTTGTGTTTGTTCCTTCTGCGTCTTGACTGTGGATGTGATAAAAACCAGCTCCTTCAAGCTCCCGCCTCCGCCTTGATGTCAACATGGCAATGGGCTGTGCTCTTAAACTGTGAGCCAGGGTAAACCTTTCTCCATTAAGTTGGTTCTGGCCAGGGTATTTTATCAACAGCAAGATGGCAAGAAACTAAGACGTATGGAATCTGCTATGGTAAAGTCTCTGCTACAAGTTGATGGGGGCCAGTGGCAAGAGAAAGAATGCCCTGTCCAAGCTGGCACAGGGCCTGGAGTTCTCCCCTATGGACAACACCTCTCTGCCCATCAGTCTCCAGCAGAACAGCACACCATTGCCCAAACCCACTATTCAAACAGTAAGATAAATGTACTTGAAACTTCTGGTTCTGTCAAGGGACAAACTTGTCCTTCAGCTTACAGGGCTGAGAGTGGCCTGGGGGTGACACTTCAGTAGTTATAAAGGGTGACAAGTTCCTAGACTCACACAGGATTTCCTGTTGAGGAGGTGGCATTCGGTGCTTCCATACTGCTAAAAGGCATTGGAGGAGGTGGTGCACTTATTTTCATAGAAAATGGATTCAAGGTAAATAAGGCAAAGGCAATTTTGTCCACAGACTAACCCCATTCACAACTGGGAGGAGAGTGCTAACCCCACGAAGAATATTGGAATCAGCACTGACGGGCAAAAGACAACCCGCTGTTTTAAATAATGCATGCGATCATGTTTTTATTAACAAAGAAAGCCTCATTCCAAAACACACACGTCCTTGAAAGGAATCCGAAATTAATTCTCAGTAGGCAGAACCACGGCATTCTGTGTTCTAATTATAATTACAACCTGCCCTTAACGCGGACACTCAAAATTATCAGGCGCTTTATTAAGAAGCAGAAGAGGGGCTTCTTGCTGCATGAAGCTCACCAGCTTTGAGCAACGTCACTGGCGGTTCTGCACGAGCTGGGACACATGGATGATGCCATTTCTTTAATGAGTGCCTACTTTCTTTTTGCCTGGAACGGGCACACCCTTAGGGGCTCAGATACCATGAGGTTCAGAGCTGCCCTTCCTAGGGCAAGATAAACACGTGCATCACAGAAAAATACCAATTCATCATGGTGGTGGTTCTGTCCCCCTAAAGAAGCCACTGGAGACTGCTTAACATTTTTATCTCAAGCCTAGTTTTCCCTAGTCTTCAGGTGACAAACTGAGACTGATGCCCCGGAAGGCTTTTTCTCCCCATTTGTTCCTAATAAGCCTGGCTCGATTCTGAGTTCATTTCCATCGGGGGAGATGTTAAGGTCTGAGTTTAACAGACTGAGGCCCCTCTCCCCTCCTGTGTGTTCTTCCTTCAGAGGTGTCCCGCGCCACATCTGTGCCGGTCAGCGAAGACCATGGGCTCTTTGAGCTCTTCTCTTCTCCCTTCCCCTGGAGACCTCTGCTGGGGGGCAGCAGGATGCCAGTGCAGCCACCCTTGGGCCACACCTTCCTGGCTGCCACAGGCTCAGTGCTCTCTTAGGCTTAGGGCCTGCTCCATGGCTGTCTGCTGAGACCGGCATGCCTTGTTTTGTTTTTGTGGGTGGAGTAGGCACACGAGTGTGTGAGGGTATGCACGCGTGTGTGTGCCGAATCCAGAGGAGGATTTCACTCTCCTGCTCCATTCCCTGCTTTATCCCCTGAGGCCAGGGTCACTCATTGAACCTGGAGACAGGCTGGCAGCCTGCAAGTCCCAGTGATCCTCCTGTCGCTGCCCACCAAGGTGCTGGGAGGGCGGGGACTTGCAGCCGCACCTGGCTGCTCAGATCTTCGAGTGTGTGCGCTAAAGAGTCTCACCCCCGAGCCATCACCTCAACCCCTAAACCTTTGCACTAGAGACTAGATTTCTCTTGTGCTGAGGTGACAGCACATCTTTGATGTTTCTTCCCGGCACTCAGACCTGAAGTACCCGAACTTAACTTGTTTAACTTCCTCTTAAGGGACAAGATCTTCTTGAGTTACAGAAACTAAAGGGTTTTTTTTGTTTTGTTTTGTTTTTGTTTTTGTTTGTTTATAGAATAGTGATTAATGACCTTTTTCTTTGTGTAGCATGAGTCAGACAGTAAGACAAAGACTTGAGACCATCCTCTAGATTAATTTTGCCATAGTCTCACCTTCTCTGTAAATGAAGCTTAGAGGTGTCGGCCGACTCGCTGTTAGCTACAGAGCTGCTGGAAGGGCAGCCAGGACTCGAACCCAGACAACCAGTGTCTCAGTGCATGTCCTCCGTCTTCACACCAAGCTCCGCTGGACTTGTAATGTGCAGTCACTGGACGACTCATAGTCCTGCTTCTGAGGTGAACTGTACGGCTCCAGATGAAACGCTGGTGACCGTGCAGAGACGTGACTGTGCTTGAGACTCCCCATGCCTTCACCTTAGAACCAGCTTTTGGCATGGACAGTATCTGTGTTCGGTACCCAGGGGCTCAGAGGGAAGATCCCCAGCACCCAGGGCTTCGTACCTCCGAGAATGAGGCCAGTGGATGTTGAGTGCTATTTATAGAGGTCTGGGACATACCTGCCTTCAACTAGGGTGGGGGTGCCTTGTGGCACAAAGTGTGTCAGCCTAATCAACAAGTATGGAACACAAACCAACAAAACCCCCAATAAAAGAAGGCGCTCTACACACATTTCTTAAGCAAACGAGGCTGGAGCCCTGGTTGCCAAGACAGTGCAGGGACATAGGCAGCCTGTGGCCTACAAGACCCCTGGCGGTTGACAGTGGAGCCTCGGATCTGCCTCCGGCCCTGAAGGCACGAGCTATGTAGACTGTGTGACCCGCTGCACCCTCTCATTACCGCTACTGCCACGCGGAGTTCTGCCTGTGGGAGGGATGATTTGCAGATGGTCCCGGCACGCAGCTGGGTTTTGACTTGGTGAATAAACTGGCATTTTGCTTCATCCCAGCCATTTTCCAAGCTCTGTTAACAGGCCGACACAATGCAGGGAATACATGTAAAATTTCTGAATTTCCAAATGAGGGAACCTAACCTCGTCTCTCAGTAACTTTAGAGATGCGAATGCCCCCCCTCCCCACTACACACACATACATACTCCCCATCCTTTCTGCTCCTCTCCTTGCTCTTCTTCCTTGTCCCAAGGAGCAGAAGGTCAAGGTCGAATTCAACCAGAATCAGGAATGTGCTGATGTGGTGCTGGTTACTCTAGAGTTGGGTTGCCATGTACGAAGGCCACCATGAGGCCTTCCCATAGGACCTTTCTTGTGTGTCCCTGGCACAGCCTCATTCCGGCCTGTGATCACTAGCCATGAATTGTGAGGCTCACTCTATGTGACAAGGTTCCCAGAGCTGGATCTCAGAGAGAGAGGAGACGCCAGGCTCCATCTGAGCTAAAATCATCCCTCTGGTTCGGCTGGGCATCCCTGAAGCTACTGTAACATGACACAGACTCTCAGGACATGCTCTGTTCTTTTTGGAATGTGGTGGTTGGAGAGAGGGGTGAGCAGGCGTGGAAGCCTGCTCAAACATATTCATTTCTAGGTTGTTGGCCATAAACTCTGACTCTTAGCAGATCCACTGAACGAGAAGCTGGGGAACCAACCTAGCCCTGCTCTACGTGACCACCAGAGCCCCCTGTGATGGAAGCCCCACACAGCCAGCAAGCTGGGTGAGAGCCCCGACTTTCTCTTTTAACCCCTTCCCCTCACACAGTGAAACCACGCTGTAAACAAAACGATTCTCAATATTAAGTAATTTCAATGACATGAAGTCATGGATCCGAACACTTAATGTTTGATTTTCTTGTGTTATTTTAGTCTCTTTATATCCAAATGAATATTCTTAGTCCCGGTGTTATTTACATATCAGACTGTAGGGGCCTGGCCTGTGACCCCTAGGACATTTAACAGTATTCACACTTCTACCTACTACCTGCCAAGAGTACTGCTCCCATTAAATAATCCAAACATCTTCAAACATGGCCAAACATTCCCTTGAGCTAAAACTGTCCTTGGTTGAGAATCAGGGACTTACGGGTTAACCCAGCCGCCTCATTTGAGGACTAAGGTTAAGCAGTTATTATAACACTCAGAATCTTCAGGCAGTGGTCTTTTTTTAAAAAAAAAAAAAAATCAGGCTTGCTTTTTCTTTTTCGTTTTAAAGTATATGTAGCCTTGCACCATCTATTTATTTCGGAATTCCAGATGTTGTTGGACAAAAGAGACTGGTGTGTACAAACCAGCTCCCTCCTGTCTGGCAAGTGGGTTCTGGTGGGCTCCCTGAGCTTTATCTGGCTAGTTTTCTTAATAAGCAGGAGATGAGTTACAACAGGCCTCAAGTCTCTTGAAGGTCCTTGGGGCCCTAAATCCAGCAGGAGGCTCCTACGGAGCTGTGTTCCCCCGTGGCCTTCAGGGCTCTGAGCCAACCAGGAACACTGAGCGAGAGCCAACTCACCTCTGTGAATGTGTGCCAGAGACAGTGAGCTGACATGGTGCATACAGGAGTTCCAGACACTGAAGAAGTCATCCTTCCTGACCGCCACCTGCCAAATTGATGGGGAACATAGCCATGAATAATATTTGGAGAAAAGTGAACCTGCAGTTTTTATTTTTCTTTCGTTTTCTTGTTCGAAGGCTGTGTGTTGTGGTGCGGGGGAGAGGGGATTGAAACTAGGCCTCACACCTACAAAGCAAGAGCTCCACCATGGAGTGAAAGACATCACCCACAGCACCCTGTTTTTACTTTGTATTCTGAGACAGAACCTCACTAAGTCGTCTGTGGGGGCTTATGCTGGTGATCTTCCTCCCAAGTAGCTAGGCTTACAGGCCTTTACCAACAGACCCAACAAACACGCAAACTGACAATTCAACACAATTCAACCCGTAAGTTGCTCTTATAGGTCACGTGAGAGGACGCATGACCCACAAGAACAACCTGTGAGTGGGATGAATGTCCTCAATGGCGTCTAAGGAGCCTGGTTCCTGTGTGTACACACACATGTGCACATGCGTGTTAAGTCCTCATGGCATGGTGTCTAGTCATGCCTAACACTTAAGAGGTGACACATGTTCAAAGAACAATCTTAGGTACACCTCATGCTACAGGCTTGTAACCAGCTGTTCAAGAGGCTCAGGCAGGGGACTGCAAGTTCATGGCCAGCTTCAGCAGCTTAGGGAGAAAACCCTGTCTCAAAAAAAGAAAATGAGGAGGAGGAAGGAGAGAGGAAGAGGGAGAAGAAGAAAAAGAAGAAGAAAAGAATAGAAAGAAGAAAAGAAAGAAAAATAAGAGAGAGAAAAGAGGAAGGAGGAGGAGAAAGAGGAGGAGGAGGAGGAGGAGGAGGAGGAGGAGGAGGAGAAGAAGAAGAAGAAGAAGAAGAAGAAGAAGAAGAAGAAGAAGAAGAAGAAGAAGAAGAAGAAGAAGAAGAAG